TTATGCAAGTTACTAGGTATAATAATTTGCAATTTTCCCCAAATTTGAATGAACGGTTCTGCTATTAAGCCAACAGTTGATTCCGAAAAGAGAAATACATAAATTGTAGTCTATTAATTTGGTCAAATTTTTGTGCCAAACAGGCCTTTGACTAGCCCTTGAGCAATAACTAAGGCAGTTATGTGAACCCATTTTGCTTGGATTCTAAGGCACTTGGGATAGATAAATGTTTTAATTTCAGTTGTGACACGTGTCTCATTCTCCCACAACTTTTTACTGAATTTTCAGAAAATAATAATAATAATAATAATAATAATAATAATAATAATAATAATAATAAAATAGAGAATTTTTCTTAACCTTTTAAGTTTTAACACAAATGTAAAAAGTAGAATCATTGCAATTAAAACAGGTTTGGCTAAATTGTAATGAGGATAAGGTCACAGTAAATTTTCATAGATTTTGGGATAGACACAATCTTCTTTTGTGTTTCAACTTTACAAAAGTGAAATTTATCAAAACAAATAAAATATAAAAACATAAAAATATTATATTATTTGAAGTTGGAAAATATTTAGGAATTTTGTAGCTTTACATCAACATCAACATATCCAGTATATTCCCAACAAGTTGGGGTCTGAAGGGTCAGTTGTACGCAGACCTTACCCTTGTAATTATACAAGAAGGCTGTTTCCACAACGACCCAAGATGCGTTGCGTCGTTCGATATATTTTTTTTTCTTTTCTAGAAACTTCACTAATAGAAGAAGCACTAGAATTTAATTAAGTCATTTTGATCTAGTCAATTATTAGCACTATGCCAGGAGAATTGTCAAGAACGACTCTTCCAGCTCCATATGCAATAGAATTTTGTAGCTTTGTACAAGTTTTTTTTTATTATTATTTTTTGGTTTAATAGGGTAATTAAACCTATTTTTTTAACTTATAATAAGTATTATGACTTTCGACATTTTCGCAAAACGAATCGTGAAGGTCGTTCTATGATGATCGGACGCAGAAGAGGGCCACCGATTTGTGATTGAATAAACCGAAAACCCGACATTTAGGCAATATGTGATCGATTTTGTTTCCAAAATCGATCACATACTACCTAATAAGTTGTATTTTGTTATATTCTAACTGATGATTCAACCAAAAGACTTGCTAGAGGAGGCTCATAATACCGATTTCCCTATGATATTCCCAAGCAACTAACAATTGTACTAACTATTAGCGTTTGGTTTAATTAATGTCATTAAATAATCCATCAT